CGGTAAAAGATCTTCTTCGTCATTTTCATCAGGTTCTTCTTCGCCATTGTCATCGCTGCCGGAACCGTCTGCATTATCCCCTTCTTCTTCAGAAACATCAAAGTCATCATCTGAGTTGGCATCATCATTATCGTCGTCGGATATATCGGCTAGTTTCCCTACTTTCAGGTTGCCACTATCACTATCTTCATTTTCTTCTTCTTCGCCATCATCTTGATCAGCTTCATCTTCCACCTCTTCATCGTCCTCCTCTTGCTCTTCGTCGGAATCCACTTCCATCCCTTCGCCATCTTCTTCATCACTCGCTTCATCTTTTTTGTGGACTTCCTTCGCGACTGGCTTAGCTGCTTTCTTTGATTGTTTTGGCTTTAGCCATTCCTGATTATCATCTGTAAATCCTTTTATTAGCGGTCCCTTGCCACGATAGTTAACTTTTTGTGCCTTTTGGGCCTCTTCATCTTCACTACTTTCCTGAACGTCTGGTGAACCATTTACATGCTCTCCCTCGCTGGCCTCATCTTTACTTTCACTATCGTATTTACGCCTTCGTTTTTCACCACCGCTATTATAGCCTTGATCTGCAGTAGCTTTCAGTTTTTGACGCTTTGATTTCTGCAACTCTTTCTTTTGGACCCTCTTCGCTTGACGCTGCTTTTGACGATGCGATAGTTTCTTATCGTCCTTGTCATCAATAGGCGCTGTGAAAGTAAATGGTTAATGGCTGATTTACAACGCTCTATAAATATGTAGGCTTACCAAAAGACTTCTTGGGAAATGTGGGAGGTTTTTGTTTGCGTGCCTTGCGTCCAGGCCCCTTCTTTGGCTTTTCATCAAAACCTGCCTTACGTCCCATGGTTTAAGGGTATACAAAATTTTTATTTTAATATCTAAAACTTTTAAATAAAGAACAAACTAATTGCGTATGGTAAACAACACGTGGAGCCGGAGAGGTAAATCAGGAGAGAATTTTTGACAGTTAAATGACAGACCAGAGTTACCAGTCCATTGGAAACTGCGATTAAATTATTTAGACAAAGAACGTAAATACAAAGAACGTAAACGTACATTTACCAGAGAATCAGTTTTTGTCCTTCGACACCGCTATTTGCCTTCGAAAAATAATTTCCATAGTGTTTTGATATCACATGCAGTGCTGTCATTCTAAGTGGAATTGCACAAACTACAGAGTGTTTCGATGGATAATTTGTTTTAATTATTCATACTTCCTAGTTGTTTTTATTTGGGTTATCCAGCTCAGTATCACCAGAGAACGTTTATAAATTAAAATTAAAATTAAATTTATAAACGTTCTCTGGTATCACGATCATTTCTCACGGAAATGGTCCGCATCATTCTTATTGGAGTTGGCAGCAATAATTTTATACTAAATACTAGTACGAGGAGCGTAAAGGAATTTTATTTGAAGCAAGTTAAAAGAAGCAATGGCAGAATATATGTTTGTGTATACATTCATTTGCCACTTTTACAAAAACGATACTGTCATATTATAAGTGACACAAACCAAAAAGAGCGGATTATAAATTGAACTAGATCTATCGTTGCATTTCCGTGGAAATTTTTTATCCGGATACCGATCATTTCCCACGGAAACATAGAACCTGTTTCGGTGTATGCCCTGACTGCCCCTTATTACGGTGACCATCCGTCCTGGTAATTATTTTATTTCATACGGGACGCCAAATGTTATGTATTTCTTTTAATGTCCCGTAATTGTCCCATACACACAAAAAATCTCACAAAAATGGCATGCCTGTGAAAAAAATTTTATTTTTCAATCTGTACATTTGTGATTCGAAATACTGAAATTATAACTTTGAATCGAAATTACACGTTATTGGTTGTTTTTCAAATTTTGAAAGAAATTTCACTAGTATTTAGCGTTTAAATGTTTTTTTTTCGACGCATTTGACGTTGGATATTCTGTGTTGCGCAATTGCATATTTAACAGCAGCTGATTTTACTTTTGTCGAAAATTTCGCCTTAAATTGTCATTTTTGTTAAATTTTTTTTCTAAAATTTCTAACGTTGTTTACGTATATGAATCCCAAATCCAAATGCGCACAGCTTGCTGTTTTTTCTGGGTGCAATTACTTTTCCAATGTGCCATGGTGTGGGGGAAATTTTCAAATTTAGTGAAGGGGTAACATATTTATTAGGCGAAACTACACCAAAAAACATTTTGCTGATTGCTTGAGGGACTGTATTTTCAGCATTAGAAACTTCAATTATGGCTACATGAGAATGTTGTATAAGTAAAGAAGTTCTCAAAGATGGAAGTTAAGTGGAGCCATTAGAAGGCTCACTTTGCAATTCAGCTCGTTCCAGATGCTACTGACTGCATTGTGCTTGGCCGAAATCCGAGTCTGAACATAATCGCTTGGATGCCACTCGTGCTTCAAAAGTAGCCGGATATTTTTATCATGTACAAAGTTATGGAAAAATATTCTACAAGTGTGTGATGCTATAACTGAATACTTATGTGCTGATTTCACAATAGATCGAATCGAAAAATATATGCCAAATAAAGATGCTGCTTCAAGGCTAATAAATCTGAGAACATTGGAAAAGGTTTTAAAATCCTCTAGCTTCTGTGGAAAAAAGATAAAATTGTTTTTGTTCCGTATTCGGCTGTCATTATTATGGTCACCGTACCTATAACGGATATATGTAATAAAAACTATAGCAATGTTTTACCGCCCTCTAGTGTTTAATTTTGTACGAAACATTTTTGAGTTTGAGTTTTTTATTGAGTTCAATCATTGATTAAGATTACTTAACCCTCTATCAGGTAAGGCCGCGTTGAAGCTGCCTTCCTTAAAAAATCAATACTTGGCACAAAAAGCGCTGGAATATTTTTGTAGACATTTTGTTTACACATTATTTACCGTTGTTTTGTCCTTTTTTTGTTTAATACTGGCCTTATGCTCACTTTACTTTAAAATTTTAGTCATTTACAGCCTTATACTAGGTTCACATATAAGTAGATTATCCTAATTTTCGAGCTTAACACCCTAATCTGTAATTATAACAAGAGATTAGCCATATAAAATTCGTCCCTTGTTAATCTGTAATTATAAAATAATCTCAGATTTAACCGATAACTTTTCGGTGTCCATCCTAGTTTTATCGATTGTTTTTGCGAAAGAGAGGAGAAATGCCAAATGTAAAAGTAAACAAAAATGTACGCTAGCAAGTAAAAGAGGTTTGTAAAGGTATTTTTAATAAAATGTTAAGTTAAAATATATTTATATTGCTTATTATAGCAGAAAAACGTGATCACGGGGGCACAGAGAAGAAACATAACTTTTCCTTGAGATGTGAGAATAACAAGCACAACAAATTTGACGGCTAATAATCTGAGATTTGCCTGTATAAACGGGGTGATTAAAAAACGAGCTTTGATTAAGATAATATTGATATGTGAACATAGTTTAATGCTTCCAAAACTAGTCTAGCAACAATATTTGTTCTACGTTATCGTCGTAAAGAAAGACGAAAACGAACGATAGAGTTGCAAAACAAGCAAGTAGAAACGATGATGTCAGCAGACGAATCATTCGTGTGGCCTATCATTAGAGGTAGATAATAAGACTCAAAAATGAATTTCATTAAAAGTAAACTTTTAAGAGCCAAATAATCATTGTTATATTCACTAGATCCGATCCGAAATTTAATCGAAAAAGTTGATCAACAATTTCTACAATTTAGCTTAATAGTCCTTGAAAATTCCACACTACCTCTGACAGCTTTTTTTAGGTGTTTTCCACAAAATTTTGAGGTAGGAGTGAAAAGAAACAATAGTCGCAAAAAAAATCGCCCTAATATATATATATATATATATATATCGTGACTAGACACGAATAAAGGCACGAGCCCAAAAGTTGATGGCGAAAAAAGACGCATAGAAAAACTTCAGCGTCAAAGACTCTTAATATACTTCGCCGAAGTTTTTCATAAGCATCTTTTTTCGTCCTTCTTTTTTTTTCTCATAAGATGCGGAAGCTGTAAGTTTAATTAACTTGACAATAGCAAATCTTACTTTCAAGGCTTTGATTAACCCAACAAAAATTGCCCGCCACTTTTTTCAATTTTACTGTTTTGCTGGCACGCGCAGCGACTGCAATCATAAANCCATAAAGATTTTGGAGTATTTGAAGGCAAGTGGTTCACCAGTGGAGGTAACAGTAATCTCAGAAGCATTTTCACCTAATACCACCGGCGATGGTTCAGCTGGCCTATGGGGTCCTTATCTGCTCGGTGGCACCCCCACCAACAGAGTACAGTAAGTGGAGAGTATGCAATCATAGACGAAGATATGAGTATTTACATTGATATGAATAAATATAGAAAACAGATAAGAAAACTTATAACCCAGTAAAAATTATAATCATCCAAAGATTAATCTTAGATCGCTACTACTTAATCTTAGATTGGACTACTCCACAAATCTCCAAGATTCTTTTGAGCTCAGAAACGGGAAGAATCTCCTTAACTCGTTTATTACTTCATAACGTATCAATAAGCGGGAAGTCAACACAACTTTTGGAAAAACTAAAAAATGCCTTGATTTCTCGATTCGTGGCCAAATAGATGAATTAATCCATAATTTTTTTTAAATCTTAATTTCAACATGTGTTACGGTTTAAATGCGCTTTTCTCGTACATTAACGTTTACCTGATAAACGCTTTGAAAACATACATTTGTGAGCTTTCTTGAGTGTCCTTATTATAAAGACAGTTTGTACTTTTTTAATTGCAGTCGCTGGTCGAAGAGTATGCATGAATTTCTAGAGCAAATCTGGTTATCTGATGATGCTGGTGAGGCAGGCGTTTGTCTTATACCCTGCATTAGATTGACGACTACCACGATGGATAATGATGTATTTTGGAAGGATATTGTTTATGGTTGTCAATCGCTGACACCGAGGCAGTTGGATGAGCTGAACAAAGGAAGATCAAAGAAGTATACGTAAGTCAAAAAACAGTAGTGACAGTTTGGGAAATGATGTATGAAGCGCAGTCTTAAAAATTCCATCAGTCAGCAAAATGTTTAAAGGACATTAGCTACCTTTTTTATTTGCAGAAAATTTATTAAAAACCTTGAAAAATGAAGGATCTTCGGAAGTTAGTAGTAATCTGAGAGCTAACTTTCGACAAAAAATTTACCGTTAACATCTTTATACGTAATTTCTAAAGCTACACAAAGTGTGGAAAATTGTGTTAAAACCGAAAATCTCCAGAAAGAGAACGAATGCGAACTAAAGGTATAGCTATAATTAGGAAAAAAAAATGTCTTGTTTGATAAAAAACTGTTTGGGCCTTAAAATTACCTTCCAAATAGAGGTTTTAAAATTTTTTCCTTTTTCGGAATCTTTTAAACATATATTTTAAATTTTCGGAATCTATTTCCAAGGACACAAGAACAGATTTTTCTTAATAAAATCATTACATTCAGGTAAAAAGGAAACATGTTCAGAAAATTTTATTTTTGATGATTGAGGTATTTTACCGTAAAAAAATATGTTTTTTTTTTTTATTAATAAAACGTTTGTTTCTTAGATTTGATTATTTCTTATTATTAGAATAAATTATTGGGTCTTGTGTATAAAAACTAAGCAGCTGCTTTTTCTTAAAATTTCAGACCTTTACTCGGTTTATTTAAATAAATTTTAGAAAAAGATCTGCAACTTTTTTAACAGGCAACTGCTTAATTTTTATTCATACCATTACTAGTAGATAATACTATTTTGAAAAGTTTAATCTATATTTCAGGCTTTTACTGCAGATTATTTTTATTTATTAAATGCGGCGAAAAAACTTTTACGAAAAAAACACATATTTCACTTATCTCGAAGGTCACAAAAAGTAACACCGTCCATACTATTGGATCTATTCGTCCGCGAGGAAACTAATATCGACCATTACTCTTCGCATTTTCAAAACCCACGCCACCTATTTCCTTCGCTTATAACTAAAAATTACAATTCCACGATGGACGATTTCGGTCATGATTTATAACGAAGGGTTAAATGAGCTTCAAAAGCAAATATGTTTTTCCTTTTTGGCCTGAAAAGGGTAAGAGTTGTGAAAAATGCATTAATTTTTAATGCATAGCATTTTAATGTTAATGTAAAAAATTAGTGCAATAACTTTTGAAATTTAATGTAAATGAAAATTTCAATGCATTAATTCCGAGGAAATACATAGTGCTAATGAATTCTTTTTGCATAAATATTAAAATTTTTAAATTAATGCTATTGCTATAATTTAGTTCATTAGAAGTATAACAAGCATTAAAAACCCATTTATTTTAAAGTAAAAATTCTTCGTTGACGTTGAGGGTGGAATTTTGAGGTTAAAAAAGGAAGCGGTGGGAGTTAAGGCTGCTTGTGATTATGCCAGAGTCAATGGAATTTATGGTCAAATAGGTAAAACACATTGTCAACTGGAACTAACAGTTTATTGATTGATTTAGATCAGAATAGGCCATCGTGCAGACTTAAGTATGCACAATGGAATAGGTCTTCAGTCTTGTACATGTGCTGCTAATAAGTCAATCTACCTGTCCGCTTTTGGCCCATAATATAATCGGTATACATCAACAATCAACAAAAAAATCTACAAAAGCACACTGAGTTGCAAGCACATTGCTTTTATTTTCATAAAACATCCAACAATTTTTACAAGATTTTTTTTTTACAATAGAATGAAGCTGATAAAACTATTAGTAATTATTCGAAGTCCTTCCAAAAGAGATTATTTATACATCACTAGAAAAAAATTTAATGGTTTTTAATAATGCAAATGAGCAAAATTACTAAAAAATTTTAATGCATTAAAACTTATTTATTAGCATTAGTTTGCATAATTTAATGAAAATAAATTTCATTAGCATTATATTTTTCGGAATTAATGTATTGAAATTTTTATTTGCATATCGATGGCTGAGTGGAAGATCGACCTATCTCGGCAGCCAGTTCAAAAACGTCCTATCTCAGAAAAATTTTCAAGCCCGCCCTATTTCAGAATTTTCAGGTATAATGAACTTAAAAAAGAAGCCTTTACATGAGGCGATTTTTTAAGCAACTTGTAAATTGTGTTTCAATTATGTGGAAAGCGAAAAAATTGCTTTCCCTTAAGTTAAAGCAACTTTTCATCGCTTACTAAAACCTCCCTATGCAAATACTATTTAAAAACTTAACTTTTTAACTTGCCACTTAAAAGTGAGCCTGAATGATATCCGATTTTAATTATATTTTCGTTTTAGTATATGTTATTCTGTATGAATTTTCTTACATATGCACTTTTTATAGCTCTGGCCTGCACTTTGTTACCTACACTTCCGAGCCTATGAAGTTATTGCCTTATTTAATGGAACGTTTTCAACGAAATGGCGGCAATCTTGTGCAACGCAAAATCATAAATCTGGAGGAGTTTATATCGAAATCCGACTACGATGCGATTATAAACTGCACTGGCTTGGGTTCGCAACTGTGTTGTGGGGATGGTGGTATGTTTCCGGTGCGGGGACAGGTGACACGGGTCAAGGCAAACTGGTTGTATTTTGTGCTGTTGGATGAGAGTGATGATGGCAATTACATAATTCCAAAGTGAGTAGAAATATGTGGTTATTCCAATATATCTAAGGTTAAAAAAAATATTGGGATTTTGAATTCATTAATAGTTTATAGAGATTTGTATATGAAGTTTATAGCATTTTCACTTTAAATGTAACTTTTTTAAAATTAAATGAAACCATTTTCAAACAAAGCGAAATCTTTTTCAAATCAAATGAAACCTTTTTCAGATTCGATGAATTTTTATTCCAATTAAATGAAACTTTTTTCAAATTAAATGAAAAATTCTTAAAAGGAAGTTTCATTTAATTTGAATAAAGTTTCATTGAATCTGAAAAAGGTTTCATTTGATTTGAAAAAGATTTCGCTTTGTTTGAAAATGGTTTCATTTAAACTGAAAATGAAGGTTTATACATATGTATCTTTTTGAATATAAGAACAGATATACCAACTTTCGTACAATCGATAATCCTATTTTGAAGGATTGCTTGATTTCGTGAACCTTTGACAACGGTTTGGAAATGTCTCATGCAGTTTTCTTGACAGGCTAGTCCGATCAATTTACTTCTAGTGCAAATAAACCAAATTTATTCCACTATTACAGCCCAACGTTTCGCTAAACTTATTAGCATCATAATTATAATATAAACTTTTAAACTCTCCAAGGCTTCATTTAAGAAAAACTACATCATTTTTTTTTTAGCTGCGAATCGGTCGTTTTGGGTGGCACCCATCAGGAAAATGATTACAACACAAAAGTATGTCCAAATGATAAAAGCTTCATTGTTGATGGCTGTCGAAAAATTATACCGGGGCTAGAGCATGCACAATATCTTTACGATTGGGTGGGTCTACGACCAGGACGTGAAACGTTGCGTTTAGAGGCAGAAAAACGAGGTATGTAATTATTTGTGAGCTATATATACATATGTATGTAGAAAAATCATATTTTATGCAATAAAAAGGCAAACAAATCACTATACACAATTATGGACACGGCGGCAGTGGAGTCACACTGGCTTGGGGTTGCGCCGAGGATGTTTTAGAGCTGCTGAAAAAGGACTTGCAAGCGTTTAATCCAACAAAATCCAAATTGTAACCAAAGTCGTAATAAACAATCTGCCTTATCCTGAGTTTCGCCTGAAAAAAAATTCACCCGAAAATTTGTCATCCGCCCAGAGTAAAACCATGGAAACCGAGAGTGAAAAGTGAACCGGTTCGGGGAAAATGAAACTCATGATAAGGCTGAATAAATCATAAATTTGCTTGTAAATATCGACACGTATAGTTATTTTATTCAATAAATTTGCATATTATATTTAGTGATAGATATATATACTATATAGCATATCCAAATACATGTGTCCGGTAAATGGGGAAACTTTCCATTATGGCCGTTCGTTAAAGGTGCGGTGGGCGAAGGGGGAGTGGGCGTGGCACCTCCAACCGACCTTTTTGGAGAGGGCATAAACCGCCATTGACAAAAATTTAACCCCCGACCACCTAGGCCCCCTATGGTTCCCTACGGACCCCTTAAAAAATGGCCAAAAATCGCAATTTTTACTTGCGTCCACGGTATTTTTGCGTAGAATTCCCTTCTGCGTAGGCGGCCTTCGGCCGCGCTTAGGGCTTATAACCATTACTACGTTGAATTCTCCTTTCTGTGTGACCTGACTGGGGCTACCGCCCCCGTGATGTAACATTGGGAAAGGATGAGGTAACTAGAATTCCCTTTCTGTGTGGTAAACCTGGGGCTGCCGCCCCAGTGATGTCTATTTTGGTTACTGGGTGTTTTATAAAAATGTCTTATATATAAAAATGTATTGTGAAAATGAATATTTAACATTTTTCAAGCTAATAAACGCAAATGAAAATTGTGATTTTTGGCAATTTTTCTAAGGGGTCCCTAGGGAACCATAGGGAACCTAGGTGGTCGGGGGTTGCATTTTTGTCAATGGCGGTTCATTCCCTCTCCAAAAAGGTGGGTTAGAGGTGCCACGCCAACTTACCTTTCGCCGACCGCCCTTTAACGAACGGCCATAAAGGAGAGCCAACCCTGGTAAATACTTAATGTAAAGTTTTAATCGTCAAAGCGTGCTTTTTAGCGGAATATCTATGCATATAATAACCGTCATCGATTCGCCACTTCTCTGGCTAATGTTTGTTTTCATAATTTTAGGATGGTACATAATATTTTGTTTATATGTGGAACAACGTGGTGAAACCCGAAATTAACCTAAAAATTATGTGAATATTTGTCCTTTTACAATTTATATGGCGTTATTGATGCTCATTTACTTTAATAATAAGACAGATTTTTTCAATAATCGGAACATAAGTTAATTTAAATATTTTGTATACTTTACATTAGTTCGAAGATTGATAGAATACGTCTTTGCATTAATAGTTCCTAAGCCATCAAACTTTTTTTAACTAAACTAAAAGTCATTCCAGACTTTTAAAGGCAACAAAAAAACGCATAACAATTTTGTACTTAAGCTAACGTAATGTACAATAATACAAATTGTTTATTCGAAATCGCTTTGTCTCCATTTATTGAGTTTCTTCTCCCACATCATTGGCGGCAATAGTAGTGGATGAAGCTAAACTCCGCATGCTTTCTATATCATTCATTTCTTCCAAATCCAATTCCTCTCGCTTACGCTTACGCTCACATTTTGGACATGGCTGCTGATCGTTTAGACAGTGCGCATGAAAAACAGCACCACAGACTTCGCACTAAAAAAAAAAAACAGTAGTAAACAACTTTCCGTATTCCGAACTGATTGAATAACTTTGATAGAAAATACACTAACCCGAAATAGTGCTAAAAGTAGCAATTTTATTACAAAATTGAATGCATTGAGCTCACCCGATATGTTGTTTCAATGTGAAATGGATAAAGAACACGTGAACTTTTGCAAATCTCACAAATAAATCCTTTTACACTGCACAATGGACACTTCAGCACATGCGATTCGCCTATTTTGTATGCCTTTTGCAGTTGCTGGTAAAGTGTGCCGCGTAATATCAAATGCAAATCACTTATGGAATACAAATGTATATGCTCATAGAGATATTCACGCCCATAGAATTGTTGTTGCAGTAGTTCTATGCTCTTAGGTTCACAGGTGTAGAGGTAAGCCCGTAGAAAATTCAAACGTATGCGTAAAGATTGCAGATCAGCCATGGCATCCGATGCGTTGTAAATGTCTGGATTCAAGAGCTACAAAAGAGAAACTTGTGTAAGAAAAAACTTCGAATCGCAATCAGTCACCACTAACTTCTAAATCAATAACTGGCTGATTGCGGAATTCCGTCAAAAAAAGAGCTGCACGTTTTGATACTGAGTATTTTCGAAAATCCCAATTGTAAATAATTTTTGCTGGTATCATAATTTGTTCCATGTCCATGCAAGCGTCACAAAAGTAATTGCCACTGAACCCGCAAACTCTGTCAGAGTAAAAATACTATTAGAGATAAATACTTATTTTAAATTTAATCTTAACGCACTGGAAGTTTGTGTAACCTATGCCTAAAGGATGTTGACAAGATTTGCAGAGAAAACCTTGCGCATCCAGACCAGGCTGTCGTGCCAACTTATACATCTGCTCTAACATCTCTTGTATTTCGCTGACGTTCATTTTATCTAAATTCGAGTCGGGTACTACCTCAAAGTCTATCGTCAACTGCATATACAAAATCATCATTGCTGTGAATTACATAATTGAATAGCTTAACTTACCCGACTATCATTTGAATCGCTACCATTGTTATCACATTTATGTTGGGCTGCATCGTCTGCATCTGTATGCGTCACGATTGTTCGCTCCACCGTCAATGCATTATTTTTTATTTGTATTTGCAGCTTTTCGCGTTCATGCTTACCAAGCAGCGTATTGTAGCTAAGCGAGCTGGCGTTGCTAGAAGCACGTCTATAAAGGGGTCGCTCTAAAGTTGGTGTGTTCAATTCGGACGCAGAACCCTCATCTCCAGACCATGATGTATGCATTAGGCTCATCAGAGAATTGCCTGGCGTTGTAGGCGAAGGGGGCTCTGTTCTATAGTCTGATTCCCCAGTTATGTATTCACGAATACGTGCCTCAGCGAGTTCGCGTGACTTTTTACGCTTCTTTTTCGATTTGCTGGTCTTTTGTGAACTTTCATTGTCTTTATGCACATTTTCGGCGGTAGCCCCATTACTACTTGTTCCTGCTTCAGCACTTTCTTCATTTATTATTTGCATCTCATCGACCGCCTTTAGTAGCAAGTCGACATTTTCACGTTGAGCAGCAATATCAGCGGGGGTCGGTGACTGGAAACTGGGTAAATTCCCAATTATTTGTGTAAATGCTTCATTGGTGCGTATCGGTTGGGGTGTTGGTAGCGCTGCGATTGCTTCTGCAGCCTCTGCATCTTCGACAGCTAGCGTGTCAGCGATGTCAACGCCACTGCTTATCTACAAAAGAGTTTAAAAATAAATATTGCTACTATTAAAAGATACGTGTTTATTTACCGGACACGACTTCAGTGGTGGTGTCCATAGCCCTGATAATTGTAAGGCATAGTCTGGCCAATAATTGAGCAAACTCGAATTTACGGGCAGATTGAATTGAACAAATGCTTCAATGCCCTCCATGGCCTTCGCAGCCATTTCCATGCCATCACTATCTTTGAGCAAAGCAAATTTTTTATAATATGGACCTAACGCAGAACTGCTCTTGCGTATATTATTTAAATAAGCAGAAAAAAGAGATTCATTGAGAGATAGGCGTATCCAGGCGCGACACTGGCCGATTTCACTGGTGACTTGGGAAAGCGTCTGAACCTGCAAAATTGCAAATGAGTATCACAATTTAATTAAAAATATTAATCATGAAAATATTGTACCTGCTCTATCACTTGTTTGTGCAAAAATATAAGTAATGGTGCCCAAAAACTCGGCTCTGGTCGCCGCTCTTCATCGCCAGCAATAACATTAAAGGTGTTCCAGAGCAGTGAATCCTTTAAACCGTGCAGAAAAATTGCCTCCAAAGTAGTGCACAGCGTGCTCGTAGCTTCGCACACTTCCAAACGATCTATAACAGAAAAAAATATATACATATGTAAATAAATGTTGTACATACATGCTACGCAATTGCTATCGTTAGCNTTCCAAACGATCTATAACAGAAAAAAATATATACATATGTAAATAAATGTAGATACATGCTACTCAATTGCTATCGTTAGTGTTTGCACATACCACACCCTTTTTGCTTCACCTCATACTGTATTTCACGTGAATTCTCAATAAGCGTATTGATAAGCACTTCTTTAATGGCGTTTTCGCGTTTACTGGAAAAATTGTTGAAGCTTTTGAAAAAGGAACTCATTGTTCAGGCAGGTGATAAAGGTTCCGATCCCTGGAGAAACGATAGTTCCGCGAGTACGTATTTCTGGAAGGCCAGCCTGCTACTAATTACTTTGTATTTTCATTGCTGTTGTGCTTCCCAAATCAGATATTTTACGGAGCAATTGATAAGACTACTAGTGTAGAAGTTTATTTTTGTTATTCCCGTTTTAATACACAAAGTCGTTTACTTTCTTGTTGTTTTTCACAGAATTGTCATATCACTGCAAAATACAAATGTTTTGTATATCGATAAATAGGTAGTTGTATCGATTTACTCAGAACAGCTGATGTGCGGAAGCAGTGTTGCAAAGTAATTTGTATTAAAAAAATAAATTAGCAAGTCGCACAAACAAGTCGCTGGTTTGTTTCAGAAGAGGTAAACAATACGAATAAAGCATATAATGGGTTTGATCCAATATTTCTCGTGTAACATTTTGTAAAAATGTCAAACAACAAAATTTCTTTTTGAAGTGAGAGTACAAAGCGAGTAACAAACAAAAAGTAAGGGGAACAAAAAAGCATTTTTTTTTGTGAGAACGCCAAACAGCCGATCGCTTGACACTTTTCATGATTTTACCAGAAGAAAAAGTTCGTGTAAAATCTTGCACTTCATTCTCTACACAACTCTCCAAAAATCGCTCTCATTTACAGGATTTTGGAGTACGGTAACATTTTCCCTGTAACTTCCTGCAAGTTCGTATAAAAACCTGTAAGTTCATGGAGTTTATGAAAAGTGTCAAACGATATGTAGGGCTGCGTTTGTAAACAATCGATGCAATAAATTTCGGAAAGGCTGTCAAATTGAGAAATCAGTTGCATGAGCAGTCACACCTT